GTGTGTGTGTGTGTGTATATATATATATATATATATATATATATATATATTGAGGTCCAATTGTCCTAGCCACCAACATGGGATATAGGAACCATGGCCCTATAATTACAAACCCAAGCAGTAGAACTTTGGCTGTTTGGTTGGGGCCTGGCCAATAGTGATGATAAATTATGTAAAATTCCACCCACAGTACATGAATTAAGTTCCAGGTGAAGAGCAAACATGTTCTAGATGTAGCAAGATTCCCCCATTAGGGTGCCAATCTTCTGTTGACACACCCATGATATATGTAGACGCTTTCTGTATGGAATGCCCTCACCGGCCCCTCTACCTTATCAATGTGGGATTCTAGTTTTTACTGTAAGAGGAGGTAAGTATGTTTTGGAAGTAAACATTTTCCTAAATTGGAACTGTATTTCCAATAATACTTACCTCCTCTCACACTCTTCTTCCCTTTCTCCCCACTAAGAGGTGTTAGAGAATGTGGATTGAGTCAGTCTTGAAAAATTTATAATATTATGTAAATGAGGTGCTTTTATACAATACCAGGATAGAGGGCACATTGATGTAGGTGGAGAGTGTTAGGAGGCAAATATCACCGAGAACAATTAAGTGTGGAATAAAAGACTCGGGCAAGCAAGAAACAATCAGACCAATGCTTAAATGGACAAAGGAAGAAACCTAGCAGTCAAGTATTGCTGTAGTGTGAGAGGAGGTAAGTATTTTTGGAAAAAAATATTTTTTTAAATGAAAATTATCTTACTTAGACTAGCCAGACTGACTCAGAAAATTCACAGACAAATCTTTAGTAACAATACTTTGTTAAATATTCTGATGTTTTGTGTATAACAAACATTTCATTTACTGAAAGCTTGTCAAATTTTGTGAAGATACACATAGTAACTTCATAATTATAGTAAACATTAATTCTCCAATATGGGCATAGATCCAATGAACTGACCCCATGCATATATAAAACTTATTCATTTCAAAAGAATATCCAGCTCTTATGACTTTCAAATATCTTTAAACCCAAAACTGCTCCAAATAATTTCACTTAACACTCAGCTGTTTGTCAAGTATAATTTATATTCATAACTGTATGTCTCATGTAACTTGCAATTTTGCTTTCATTTACCTCTTCACTGAATATTTCAAGTAAGTGAATACTTTTCTTACTGTAATACTAGATAATATTTATGATTAGAGTGTTACATGCTTTGTTTTAAATAGTATATATGATCATATAAGTAATGGGGGAAATATGGCAAATCTAATTGTAGTGTTTCGTAACTTTATAAATTAATCCTTTTTACATCAAGTTACTAATATTAATGCTTTGTAATTAGATACTTAAAAGATGTCACGAGTAAATCTGTCACAAACTTGATATCAATAAATTCTATGGTTCATATTCTTTACCTGATTTTTTTTAACATTTTTGATTTAAGAAAATTAAATCTTGCAGTTTTATATTTCAATTACATAACTTCTAGAATCTTCTAAATGAATTTTTTTTCTTCAGTAAAGCTATTTTCTCTACCCTAACACCACCTGTAGCAAAATCAGCAACCTATTCTAAAATTAAAAGTTGAAAAATGCAAAATGAATATAAATTACCCATCTTTTCTTTCTAGAACGACTATATTTTTACAGACAATTATACACTATTTTTTCTAACAGCCAAAAGCTAATATTATTTTTGAGTGTGGGTTCATTTAGTTTGTTGATTTAAAGATCTTCTCAGAGTATGCCCCAGTCAGACAGCTTTTTATATAAAAAAAGAAGATTGAATTACAGTCGCACAACACAATTTATGCATTCTAGGAATTTGAGTATTATGATAAATATTTAATTTTTCTCATTTCTGTTTTCTTATCTAACCTAATAAGTTTCTAAGTTTTACTTTTTATTTACTTTTATAACAATAAATAAAGAAATATTCATAAAAACAAGAAATTTAGCATGTATTAAGTTAGGTGCAGTTAACAAAATGTTTTGTGATGTTAATATAAAGAGGTTGCCCAGGTGTTCTACTCATGTTTAATGTTAAAGTCAATGGCTACTGTTAATAATTTTCAGTTGTATAACTGTATTTACAATAGTAACTATTTTTAATAACTAATGAAAGCAGCATTTTCTGGCTTCATGAATAAGTATAATCCATTTAAGAACTGGAGAAAGAGTTTTATCACTGCCTTATTATAATGCTTTCTTGGATATAATGCTGTGATATCATCTGCTGTTTAGCTCATTGTCACTTGGCTTCAGAGGCTAAATTCATTACACTCTGTCAATAAAAAGGAAAAAAAAAGTGGAAAGTCACAAGTGCAAAGCTCAGAGATGTGAATATTAAGTTCAGATGTGAACTTGATATTGGGATGTTGGAAATTAAGAGAAGAAAGGAATTTGGAAATGTGACTCGATTATCAAAATAGTAAGAAAGTATCATCCATATAGCATTTGTAAAGGACAAGTTTAAAGTCACATTGGCAGTTTTCTAGCCACTTGCATTCATAATAACATAGAAAATTACTGGCTATTGTTGAACCCAGTGAAGATTCCATCTAGCTGGTCATAAATGATGTAATGAAAGAGGAAATGATTTAACTTTGTGGAGAGGGTAAGATGTTCCAAGAATTGTTTACGGGTGAAACCAAGATACTACTCAGTGTCGGAAGGACATAGAAATGTCTTGTCATTAATGCAACAGGTTTAGAGTAGTGTTAAGCCTGCTCATTTTTGACGTGATTTTAATTATCCAATGAAAATGCAGATTGTTTTTAAGGTGACTGTTGTATCTTATTGTATCTTATTTTGTCTTATCTATATTCTTTTTATATCTGTTTTCCCTACATAAATAAACAGTTATTTAATTGATTGCTTTAGTAGTCTGTTGAATCTGTACTTGCTCAGCATGAGTGTCTTCTTAGTTAGTTGGTTATAACTCTTCCCCCACCTATATCAATCTTGGGTGCACATGGCTTCCGATGTAGCATTATAATGAGACAGTACAGTATTTGTTCAAAACACTTCATTTATATAATACATGATGATTTGATTAAAGTTATTCTACACAACCAATAATGGGCATTCTATAGTTCAAAATAACACATGCACCCAGCTTACCCTCCATACTTTCTCTTCTGGCCTTCTACTTAAACGTTGGTTATGGTCTGTTTAGGTTAACAGGCAAAGCAAACTGATTTTAACAAAATGTGATTAAAAAAAGTTTTTTACATGAATATCTCTTGTACTCCACTATTTACTTAGTTCTCTCATTAACATAATGTCTTCAGTTTCACTGGAAATATCCGAGTGAAGCTGTAAGAGTGGTTTGCATTCAGATGTAAAACATAATAGTTTTTAGTCTTTTGTTTTGTGTTAAATGCAGAAGATATGATCAGTAATGTGTTTTATATAAATTATGTTAATATCCAAAATAATTTTATAGGAGAGATTTGGTACATGGAGGTTTAACATTGGTTGAGTTGTATGCATGTATACATTAAACCTCAAATTATTAACTTGTTTTTACACTGTTCACTAATGTTGGGGACCACATATTAGATAATATGGTATTTGAATGTCTTTGGCTGTCACAACTTTCAGTGACAAAAAAGGGGCCTAAGGTCACTCATTTTCTATGTAAAATGCAAAGGAAACACCAGTAGTAATTAATGAGATTAATTGTAATATTGAATGTATTTTTGTTTAAATGTTTGCTTTGGGTCATAATTTTATAAACTTATGAGTGAAGGTCAAGAAGAAGCTATAACAACATGTAAATCATACTATATCTGCTAACCCAATACCAGGGCTCTTGGTTTACATGCTATTTACATTGTTGGAGATCCTGAGACCAATAAATTCATGAACCCACACATAGTTTGGTATATAAACAGTTTAGTGAAATATGTTCAAAAAGTTTATGGGGTACACATGGTAATTAGTAATTCTAGGTAAAGTCTTCATATTTTATGAGCACATCTTTGATCTTACTAGGTCCCCCTTGTTGAGCACAACAAATCTAAGCCTTAGTAGATATGAAAATGAATTTCAAGAAATTGGAAAAGTGGCAGAAGGAGGTTTTGGTGTAGTTTGTAAGGTAAGAAACAATTGTATGAACATTTACAGAACAATGAATGTTTATCCTTCAAAATGTTTTTGATAATTTGAGGATAATTACAGTTTTGCAAAAGTTTTTCTGCCTCTTTTTGTGTTTAAAATATTTAATTTTTGGAAGGTTGTCAGATATGTCAGAGAGAAATTATTCTTAGTGTACGTCATGCTATAGTGAGACAATTGTATTGATTTCATCATATTATTAGACCAACAAACAAGTAAAGATGAAGACACTTAAACATCAGTTTAAAGTATGTCTTTTGATTATGTTGTAATAGAATCACACTCATTCATTAGGATTTTCACCAATAATTTTGGGAACATATCTTTGATTAAGTATGTAAAAAGTTTGTGTAATTTGATGACTCTTTGTAATGATTTATCTAAATATTTATATTTAGGCCCGATCTCGCTTAGATGGCCATGAATATGCTATAAAGAAAATAACATTTAAGAATTGCAGACTGTCAGAAAAGGTAGGCTATCTCTTTATTTCCTCAATAAATAATTATGATTTTTTAGTAGAAAATAGTAATCTATAGTAATTTTTAAAGTATGACTTTTTTTTTCTCCTTATAATAAGGGTAAAAAAAGTCTGTTAATAGTGTGAAGACAATTTTGTTAAGAATCATACTGATAAAGCAAACCTTTAATGGCACAATGGAGGGTGGCTTTTCTTAGCATACTTATAAAAAAATGAACAGCAGTTTTTCCCTCTCCATGCACATTATAAAAATAAACATGTCTCATCTTTTCAAGCATGCTTTGAAAATAAACGCCATTCTCTCTTTGCTTCCCTCTTCATGCATGCTTGTACAAATAAACAGTTGCACCCCCTTGTCATACATACTTGTAAAAACGTGCTATTGTGTCCTATTTTTTGTGCTGTGTTATTTCTGAAGTTTGACATAAAAATGAAGCTTATTTTAAGAATTCATACACAATAAATTCATAATTAAAATATTCTGTTGGTATACCATTATTATTAAACTTGTTATTGTCACAACGCAGGTTCAGAGAGAAGTGAAGTTGTTTGCAAAACTGTCACATCATAATGTTGTCTGCTATAAAAATTCTTGGATTGAAACACACCTTGTGTTTGGTGAGTAAATATTTTGTTTATGCATAGTATGAACTTTCGAAGGATACATTTAGTATACATATGGGACTGTGGGAAATGGTCAATTTATTCTTGATTAGCCAACATAGCAGTAGTAAAATTTCATACTTAAAGTTGATTCATCTAGTATGTATTTAGATTATTAAACAGTTGTTGTAATGCTCTGTTTTTGTCTTTTGTATTTATGATGTTTTAAAAGAATATCCGTTGCTACACACAAATGTCTTGGTGTCTGTAAGGTACACTTTATATTTGTCACGCAACATGGATATTGTTAATATCAGTATGGTGCACTTATCACTCCATGTGGATACTTGGATGCTACTAAGGTGCATTTATATATTACTCCATATGGATATTTTAATGTCAGTAAGGTGTACATCCTATTCTGTAAGAATATTGTGATCACTGTAAAATGTATTTGTTACTCCACATGGATACTGTGTGATATCAGTATGGTGTACTTGTTATTACACAAATGCTTTGCTATTATTAAGTTGCACTTCCCATATGTCACTCAGCACAGATATTGTGGTGTTAGTAAGGTACAGTTGTCACTTCACACAAATACATTGGTATTAGGAAGTTGCACTTCCCATATGTCACTCAACACAGATATTGTAGTGTCAGTAAGGTACAGTTGTCACTTCACACAAATACATTGGTATTAGGAAGTTGCACTTCCCATATGTCACTCAACACAGATATTGTGGTGTCAGTAAGATACAGTTGTCACTTCACACAAATACATTGGTATTAGGAAGTTGCACTTCCCACCCCACACCAGTATCTTGAACACATACTTGTCACTCCACACAAATATTCTTTGGTGTCAGTAAGGTGCAATTTTTATTTGATAAACATATCCATGAAGCATAATATTTTAACCTTTTGTCTTCAAGTCTTTTAAGAGGTTGATGTTCACTTTTTTTTTCTGCAGCCAATATCCTAAAATTTAACAAGTACCTCATGAACGAAAATAACCTAAATTTGCAAGATAATGTTTTTACAGTAAAAATGTTTTGGATAAAGTTTGCATTAATTCTGTGAAGTTTAGTAAGTTACATTGTATATTGTTTGATGTTAATTTCAACACTTTTTTTAATATTTTAGGGTATCTGTTATGCAGTTAATACGTTGTGTAATAATATTTTTCTTTTGCTTACAAGATCTGCCATGTTCTGAGCATACTTCAAATGAAAATGTCTTGGATGTGGAATCAACTAGTGGAAGCAGCAATGGGTTTGTATGAAAATAGCTAAATTAAATCTAGAAAAAATTAGAAATTCTATTTATTCATCTAATTTTTCATGTTTTATTGTAATATTCTAAAGTGTTACATAATTACTGCCCTTTGTGTAGGGTATGTTTTTCATCTCTTTTGAGATTCTTTTGGTCTTAACTCTTTCAG